CAAAGGCAGAGAAAAGGTAAGATGAGTACTGTGAAAGGGGACGAAATGACAAATAGTCAGGTGATAGTAGTTTGAAATCAGAGGTCATCTGCCGATCAATAGACTCTTTTTGCCCTATAATTATACGTTGCCCAGGGTGCACCCCGAAGTAAGTCTATTGCGGGTCTGCACTATCTGTGAATATTTATTGACGTGATTAATTTTCAGCCTTTCAAAAGGATCACCTATTCCGACTTTTTTAATAGGATAGGAAGGTCGAGTTAATTTACCATAACTAAATGAAAAGGAAGTTTTATAAGATATCTGCTCTTTAAATTTAAAAAGGCTGATAAGAATCAAATGTGAGAACTAGGAAAAAATTCTTTGCATTTCAAAATGAGCAGGTGACAAGCACAAGCATATTATTAGCACATTAATGACCAACTGGTATTCATTCGATTGGTAGAAATTTCACACTTAGTTGGCCAATTGTAGTTTCTGTCTGAACGTAATTCGTGTGATCAATAATATAATGAATATTTTGACCCCGTCAGGCATCCAATTTGTTTTTCTTTGGAGTAAAGTTTGAACTCTATTTGTCATTACAAAGTCACCTTCCAAAAAACGTATTGGCTTTATACATATACAATTTCCTATTTTCGAGAAATCAACTTAATCGCATTCTTTATGACTGACACCAAATAATCCCTAATATTTCAGTAATAAATGCTTAGCTCTTGGGGATATAATTTTTTGCTGATGAGGAAGGGGAGTATAGTACAACGATAACTTCCCTGAAATTTAAAGGCCCCACAAACAGTTAGTATTTATGCATGAATCAGGCAGAACTTCATTAGTCGCTAACAATCCTAAAGCCCTACCTAGCTAGTTAGGTGCAATCTCATCACCCTGCAAGAAGAATGGGTCAATGGGGATATCGAACCTGTGAGGTCATCATCAACTTTGACAGAATCAGGAGGAAGTATCAATTTAATGACAATCGCTCGATAGGTGGTTAAGGTGACATAGCCACTTCTTCAAAAATAAAAACATTTATATGTTTTGCTTCTCTACCTTTTTTCCCATCTTTCCTACTCAACATGTCCTCACGGTTTTAATTGTAATATCTAACTAAAATGCTTTAACCAAGATAAGATTCGATAAAGCTTCCTATCACTTCATATTGGATTCAAGTTATTGCAGCAAACAGATCTGATTGACTCCCTTCATAGAAGTACATACTGATATAGAGTATGTTACCACCAAAATTATCTACCTTACTGAATTTTCTTTACTTGGACACCAATCATATTTGAATATACTTATAGCTAATAATGAATGAATTTTGTAAATGACCTAATACTAATTTTTTGCATATGCATTAAACTGCTTTTGTCGTATCATTGTTTGAGAACCAATAGATTCAATAATTAGTATTGATTATTGCACCCTTTTTGCGAAAATGCGCTCCGTGGTCAAGTTCATGCTTACTTTCAAAAGAACTCTTTTCTTTCGGTGTTAAATTAACACTTAATTTTCATCTATTGTTCATGCTCATCAACATCCGCCAAATGATATTTTGAAAAAGGCCTTAATTTGCTTCATCTACCTTACGATGGATAATGGAAAAATAGATTCGACGAGTTCTCATCCTGGCTTCGTTTGATCTTAAAATTGGCCAAGAATCACTAGCTCACTTTTAACCCACGTAATATTAAGTCTCATAGAGTTGCCAACTAGGCTTTATCATTCACTGGAGAGGCAAGATAAATATAACGCTCAGCTGATAGTTACTATGTTCGTCAAACCGAGGCAATGAAGGTTCCAGATATTAACGTAAGTGTATTTCGTTCGGTTGCAAATTCCATATTTGTTTAATAATGATGTTCTCATCTATCGAAGCTTTGTTAGCACACCAAGTCGAATTGGCAATGAGACAAAATTCGTCCACTTATTTAAACACCACAGTGAGCAACTACTCTACCTTTCACATATATATTTGCTTTATTTTCGCACAAAATTTCAGAGCGGAAACTGCTGTCAAATTCGGATGTGAGGGCAATCGACTTCGGTGAAACTATTTAAAAAATCCCACAATCGCCCTTCATGTAAATATCTCGGAGCACGCAAATTTGCGGCATACAGTGAAATCTGGAATTCAATTATTTGGGAGTAAAGTCGATAATAAACATTTTATTCCAAATTGAATTAAAATGACCATAGCTATCTGTTTAAAGTCAATGTTCCTTAATGGGGTGCCAATATTTACAAGAAACTACTCTTGCTTATTTCAAATTTCAACCTAATCTATGCTTTGTGTATCCCATTAGTGATTTTACTAAGACACTAATTGTCATTTATTTTGATTGTGAAAATGAAGTTCCAACTCACTTAACTTTAATTGTCTTGATAAGATCTTGCAGAATAAACGATTTTTATTATTGCTGTAAAAAATGGTCGTTAATTTTATCATTCCAATCTAATAGAGATTGATCGATTTAAAAAAATAATACTTTAAGTCTTCCTCTCAGCTGTCTTTAATGCTCTTCAGTTTGAAATTTGCCCGTCGCACTATCTTAAAACATGGTCCTTCACCTACTTGCCATTGATATCACCTCTGCTATTAAAGTAAATGTTGTGCGTGTTTCGCAGAAAGGGAGAGATCAGATCTACACTAATATGGGCACATGAGGGGAAGTGAGGCATTTTCTCCATTAAGCAACATGTACTCTACCTTCACAACATTTTTAAACCATAAAGTTGTGATGAGAGCGTTCAAATGGGGCAAAAAAATTTAGCATTCCATTCACGAGGTAATATCAATCGTTATCGAGATCTCAAATAGGCAATTTTCTTCTTTTGAAAAATCTTCTCTAGATTTTATTTGAAATAATGAAAAAATTGAAATATAAAAATCATCAAAACTGGCAATTCTAAATCTTAGTAGTTCAATTTCTCTTTGCTTCCTTTCAAATTCAGTTGGATTTAAAAGTTCATCTCTCTATATAATAGATGCAAATAAATAAATCTGTTCTTATTTATTTAAATTTTAATTTAATTATCTGCGATACTGTTATTTTTCGTTATTGATTTATATATATGTATATTTTCACTTTAGGTTGAGCCATGCTGTTGGATGACTTACACCCGGCATCGAGAAACTCAAGACACCCTCCAGACCCTCGAACGATTGGACATTGATACCGATAAGAAGACTGAAGAGGAGCTTTATGAAAAGTTCCATCTTGAAGAGCAGTATCTCAGTGGGACACTGACAAAGTGGCAAAAGTGGAAACCCAAGCTGTGGGCCCTCATTGACGAGCCGTATTCGTCATTGTATGCCAAGGTAAAAGTTAATTTTATTTCCCAGAATGAACAAATCAGACACTAGAACGCTGCAATGTCAACTATTGCTCATGCAAAATTTGTTCAATACTAATTATGTCGACTATGGCTGCTGATTCTGTGTCCTGATATTTCCTTTTAATCTCTGCATAGCTGTGCTTCCATAAATAAGTCTCCCAGTTATTTGACAATCATGTTTTAGTCGCATTTCCCATTTATTTATTAAGTATTTTGAAAAAGCTTTCTTACTTAGGCAGAATAATTCAACTGAATATTTGAGCCTTTTTTAGCCCTCCGTAAGTATTTAGTTACTAACAGAAAGATTATAAATGTTAAAGCTTGAAACTTTAGAGAACATAAATGCGTTCATTTAGAGGTTCGAAATGCACATATTCTTTCGATTATGAGAAAAACTATGTAGGTTAAAACAAAATGTCAGAATTACTTTTATTTTCTGCCAATTTTAGGGCTTAATAAACCATCTCTAGCCATATCTTTTTGAAAAAATGTGAAAACCTCTCATTTTTGCAGCAAACAATTTGAAACCACATTTCGAAGGTATAAAGGATCAACCTTTGGATTAAATTTGTTATCTTGACTCAAAAATCGTATAAAATCACTCATTATAACTTTAGAACCGTCTATAGCGGATGATGAACAGTTATGAAAATTTTTCATAATTAGTTTCAGTGTAAGCAACCAATTGAACGAAAGATCAACTATTATTAAATTAGCAGATCGACAGAATCTACTTTATACCCAAAACTAACCTAAGTGTATCTAAAGCGGAAATCCTCTCATCAAGATAATTTTATTTTGATGAATACTTAACTCCTAGCAGGAAACAGTGCATTAAGACAAGTGCTAATGCTGTTCATTAATTCTCCAGACACTTCCTGTACCAGGAAACCGCCTTTAGGTATAATAAATTGTAACTGCAGGTGATGATTTAAAGTTGATGCAAAGTGAGATGATTTAAAATAACACAGTTAAATTTTATTTATATCAAATGGCAGGCATTTTGATAGTTATCATTAGCCCTTTAGTTGACTTCAGGCTTCACAGAGAGGAAGAAATATCAGTGAAAAAAAGCAGAGAG